ACCACTAAATTTTAATAAATAATACCTCAAACTAAAGTTAGGATAATACAATTGACATTGCTGGATTCCTTGTAAGACCAGGAATATTTTGAATATAAATGTCATATATTTTGCACAAAAGATAACATATTTACTGAGAGTAAACATTATATCTAAAATTTGTATGTCTAATGCAAAATCTATGATGTTTATATTCAAAATGATCACCAAATTGTAAGAATTCCAGCAATGTAAATTATATTCTGGCCGGGTAATTTGTATGAATTTTATGAGCTAAAACAAATATCTTCAGTTAATAAAAAAAAAAATATTCTTCAAGACACTATCTGTCAATCAAAGTACCCCACCTTGCCTCCCCCCCTCTTCCAACCACGCGGTCAGTCCCAACCCTCCCCCCCACCCCCCACCAATCCTCCCTTCAAGAGATGTTGGGTGAAAAAACTAAATTTTAACATTTTGTATTAAATAATACCTCAGATTAAAGTTAGGATAATATAATTGACATTGCTGGATTCCTTGTAAGACCAGGAATATTTTGAATACAAATGTCATATATTTTGCACAAAAAATAACATATTTACTCAGAGTAAACATTATATCTAAAATTTGTATGTCTAATGCAAAATCTATGATGTTTATATTCAAAATGATCACCAAATTGTAAGAATTCCAGCAATGTAAATTATATTCTGACCGGGTAATTTGTATGAATTTTATGAGCTAAAACAAATATCTTCAGTTAAAAAAAAAAAAATATTCTTCACACGGTAACAGATGGTCGGTCGGTCCCTCCTCCCCCCCACCAACCTTGTCCCTACCAGATGTGTGGGAAAACCAGAATATTTACCTTTTTAGTAATAAATAATACCTCAAACTAAAGTTAGGATAATATAATTGACATTGCTGGATTCCTTGTAAGACCAGGAATATTTTGAATACAAATGTCATATATTTTGCACAAAAAATAACATATTTACTCAGAGTAAACCTTGTATCTAAAATTTGTATGTCTTATGCAAAATCTATGATGTTTATATTCAAAATAATCATCATATTGTAAGAATTCCAGCAATGTAAATTATATTCTGGCCGGGTAATTTGTATGAATTTTATGAGCTAAAACAGGCAGTCAGGCAGGGTGGCGGGTGGGGGGGTGGGGCGAATCTAAAAATAGCTCTCGAGCCGGACACTCACAGCGTATATGTGGAAAAAATCCACGTTAAGTGAAAGTTAGGCTCTGGCGAGGCACCGCATATATGGTAAAACGCGCTAAGCGAAACCTCGTTAAGCGGGGTAATACTGTACAGTAACTATAAGCAATAATACAGAACTTGAGTTGCTGCAAAGTTTATACTATATCTTGATTTTAATGAAAGAAAATTTAGGTGTTGTACCATGTAACATAAAAAGTACATGTAGCAATGGTCAATTGTTACATTATGTAGCAAAGGAGATAAAGAGGATACACCAGGCACATACTGTGGATGAGAGTTTTGTGATGATGGCAACATGAGAGATATTGGAGAAATGTTAAATGGGATAGGTTTTGTAGAATATATTTTAAGAACTTGAAAATCTACAACAGGGTTGAGAAAAGTTGGAACCTTTGAATGAAACTGTATAGGATTTGGTGACTGTTTACAGATGGACTGTGATGGTTGAATTTTGGATAAAGGCAATGAATGAGACGGATAACTATAAGAATTTTCTGCATTCAAGAGTGCAACCCATTCATGAAAATAATGGGCAAACTGGGCATGTCTTTAATCCTGTCTAGAAAAGAGCTAACTAATGTGGGCTGTAGAAGGGTGGAATTTTGTGCCAGGTCAGAACAAATGCAAATTACTTATTCCATAGAGGAAAATGTGAAATGTAAACTTAGGTTAGGTGAATAAGGGTAATTCAGTCTCAAAAGTCTTACAATGGGATCTGTGTACAAGTAAGGGGTTGGCAGGAGGTACTTACAGTAAAATTTTAGAAATAATATATTTTTCTTTTACAGTATTCAATCCCAAATTATTAAAAAGTAGTAAAGGCCCATATTCTTCGAGGTTTCTTAAATTGCATGATTGTAGTCTAACTTGGTATGTATAGAGATAAATTTATTATTTTATTTTTTCATTTATATACTTCTTAATGGTAGTGTTGAAAAATTATCCTCTTCATTTAAAAGTCTGAGCCTCCTGCTGCTGCCATATACTTTGTGCATTTATTCTCTCATCGTTTAGCCACAAAACCTTTCTGTTGAAGATGTTTATGAAATGTGCATTATCACAAGTGAATTTACTTTAACATAGAATTGACATTTTTCAGTAAGTGCACAAACAAGGCTTTGGTAGGCTTTGCTGAAAATTGAAGAAATTTTAAATTTTTAGAAGTGGTAGATATATTTATGAAGATGAAGAGAGTTACAGATTGAAAAGGTGGTAAAGTCACTAAACTCTCAATTTTAAATCTGCAAGTTTCGATTTGTTGAATACTAGTGTGCATCTACTGTTGGGTAGATAAGCATTCAAGCCTTTCACAAAATCACCTCGGTTTGTATTCAGCCCTATCCTCTCATAATGTTTCCTGTTTACTCGTCAAAACACTTCTCTTTCCAAATACAATATTTAATGCATGTCTTTATACTTTCCCCGTGGAAGTTTATTTCTTTGCACATATATTTTTGTACTGTTGTAATGATAAAAATTTAAATGATAATATTCCATTTGTGACAGGTCATAGTTACCATTACTATCTTGCCTGCTGTCTCAAAACTGTAGAGTAAAATTTATGAAGAGAGAGGACCATGTCAAAGGATGCAAAGTTTGGTATACTGTATATAGAAAAACTTTTGAGCCATAATAGCTATATGGAAGTAAATCGTCTATTATCAATGCTAGAGGGACAAGCAAAGTAAGAGCAATTTATGGGGAAATAGGGTGTAGGGAATATGGAATAGGTAAATTAGATGGAGGGTCAATCCGTTGTGAGGTTCGTTACTTATTCATTTACAGCAGGGGTGTCAAACTCGTGGCCATTGGAATGGTCATGTGTGGCCCGCAGGATGACAGTAAAATTTATCAGCCCATGAAATTTTATAGAAATAAATATGAAGGAAAAAAATGCAGATATGAATGAGTCAGTAAATTCCGAAATGATCTTTACATCATTGTGGCAATAATTGAATTTACTGTATATTGAGCTCTTAAGTTTCAAAACACAATGGAATTCTATAATATATTGTAGCCGTATAATGCATATACAGTATAGTACAGCTCCTCCCCGACTTACGACGGGGTTAGGGACCCAAATCCAGGTCATAAGTCGAAATGGTCGTAAGTCGAAAATGCTTAAATAATACATAGAAAATCTAAAATGGGTGTCTCTTTTTCTTCTCAGCACCACAAAACTCTCACTTTTAAGCTTGCCAGCCATTTTAAAGTGAATTACAAACGAAAATTTTGTCTGTGTACTGAAGTTGGGACTCGAAAATACGTAATCTGACAAAATTTGGGTGAGGCAGGTCGTAAGTCGGGGAGCAGCTGTATATGCCTTTTCCTATCCTACTACAATATTAGCGTTAATCATGTTTATTAAGTAAAATAATTTTACATTCTTAAGATCAGACAAACCCATATGAGGTATTCCTGGTAGACCAGGTAAGGCAAAGTGTGAAGCTGTAAACTTCAATCCTGCAAATATGTGATATGGCACTTGTGTTGGCCCTGAAGAGGGTAACTAAAATAAGAATTGGCCCTCGAAAGGTTTTGAGTTTGACACCACTGATTTACAGTATTCCCAATTATATTACTAAAGTAAAACTGTATAATTAAGTGACTCTTATAGCAAGTATTACCAACACTTAAGAGTTACATCATGCTGCTAATCTCAATGAACCTGTGTTATAATATGATTTTATATTTAATATAAGAATTACTGTAAGATTTGTTACCATTATGCTACCCTTCTACTTAATCCCACAGGTAGTTCTGCTATAACGCGATAATTGTGTTCTTGTAAAATATCGTGTTATAGAAAATCGCGTAATAGAAATAACAGGGCTTATGGAGAAAATAGGGTTAGGTGCAGATTACTCGAAATTGAAAAAATTTAGTAGTTAGCCTAACACAAAGGATAGCACAGTCTAAATAAATGTTACATTCATATCTAATAATGAAATCATACAGTAAATGTAACACTTTACCTTGAAAAAATATGAATGTAACTTGATGGGGGAGAAGGGTGATTTTGAGGTTGATAACATCGAGCTTCTCTTCAAGTGTTATATCCTTTCTTTTACGATCATCACCGGGAATTCTATCACCAGAACGCTTCTTGGAGATATTCTTCTTTACCATATTCACAATTAATACCACAAAATTGGAGAAATAGTAAGCAAAAATCGCGTTATAGCAAACAAGCATTCGCGTTATACAAATATCGTTCCTAATTCATAAATCGCGTTAGAGCAAATTCGCGTTATCAAAACACGCGTTATAGCAGAACTCACTGCATTTGTTCATTTCATCATTTCTGTGAATTGACTGATTCAATCAAATAGTGCTTCATATCAGTATTAAGTAAATGAATAAGGTTCATGAGCATATCTTTATAAATTAGATTATTCAATGAACAGTAGTTTTGAAATTACGTAGTATTGTGGAATATGCAACTGAGGTTCATTACAGGAAAATGTGAGGGTCGTTATCGTGCAGTTACCATTTCTTTTACATTAATTTTAACTGGGAATAACTTATAAAGTACAGTACATTGCAGCAATATAAATACATGTATTGAATTGTGAAAAGTTTCTGTATTACAATGTTTTAAATTATAGCCCAAAGACAGACAGACAGGTGTAGCTTTTTTATTTTCACAATTATAACACAGAATACTACTGACATTCCAATGATCAAAACTCAGTATTTATAAACTATGAATACTGTATATACTCTCCATATCCATATACAGTCCATTGCGAATACATTAAGTGATGTGTCAAATATAATTTACAGACGAAATGTGTGTGAAGGACGTTACTACTGCAGCAGTAACCAGGGCCGGATTTACCTACTTGTGGGCCCCAGGCCAAACTCATCAGTGGGCCCCCATATTTATAGAAATGTTTGCATGTTTCAAAAAAAAAAAAAAAAAAATGTCATCAAATATTACATAAAATCATAATATTATAATGTAAGAAATGAGAATTTCAACAAATGTGACACATCATTTCTTTTAATCAAATTAGTTCTATATCATGTACATCTTATATATGGGAAAAATTAAAGAAATATACTTGAAGAATAATCAATTTTGCAAGCACATGAAGTACAGCAAACTGTGTGAATTTCAAAATAAATTCTTCCTACTTTTTTTCATGGACAATTTGTCAATGATACTGTTTTTGTCAAGAGATTGTAGGAGCCCAGATTCAATGCATAATAATGAAAGTGAGTTTAATCTGGTTTGTCCCATGGTAGACCTCAGGTGATTTTTCACCCTAGATAGAGTAGAGAAAGACCTCTCTCCTTCACAATTTGTAATAGGGATGGTAAGGAAAATTCTTACCAAGATACTGTTTGGAATGGCAGTTGTCAAAATACCATCTTTGGACCTCAGCAAAGTGGAGATGTTTGTCACTGACCTGTGAGATTCAGAAGACAAAATGTCTTTAAATTGCAAAAACTCATCTAGAACAGATGCTTCCAGGTCACCGGAATAGGTACTGACAACCAATTCCAGTTGGGCTTTAAGATCATCATATTTCATACTGTCATACTCCGTTAAGAAGGTAAACAGCTTCTTTATTTCTGAGTACGCATTCACTCTGTGCTCTAATTCATTCCTAAGGCAATCTAATATGGTGTAGAAATTGTCCACCTTGAACTTCTCACGTGGATCAAGTTGAGTTTCAGTGCCAACTGATTCAGCAAAGAAATGTTTTCTCTTTTTTGTTCGTTTTGTTGTCTCTGTGTAGACAGGCTCAGCAAAAGCCCTAACCTGATAACTTCTATTTCATCAAACTGATCCTGTCTCATTTCTGAGATGAAGGAGATCAAACTCTCATACAGTTTCACAACTGACAGAAGGTCGGTCTCAACTTTTTGAAGTGGCTGGTTGCATTAAACCTTGTTAAGATTTTATACCATAATACAGTAAGAAATGCTGTTTCAAATGCTTCCATTTGTCTTATGAGGCCTTCAACTTCAAGCTTTGTAGCCACAATTTGTCTACTGTCAGAAGATATGTTCTCCAGTGCTGACTTTATCTCAAGGTACTGTAAAAACACTGCTTTAACAGCATCAGCCCTCGCACTCCAGCGAGTTTCTGAAAGGGATTTCACTACAATCCCTTCAGCAGGTAGTGCAGCTTACAAGTGATCTCATCTATATGTGGAGGCTGAGAAGAAGTTGTATAAGGCTTGCAAATATCTGGAATATGAAACAGACCCAAGGCAACTGCTGGCAGCTGATGTTCCTACAAGGTTCAAGGAGTGACCTGCACAAGGGACATAATATGCCAGGGGATTCATAGCCTTTATTCTGGCTTGGAGACCAGTGTAAATGCCTGACATATTGGCAGCATTGTCATAACTCTACTCTCTCATGTCACTCAAATCAAGACCAACATCTTTAATAAACTGAACAACAGTTGAGGCTATGCTCTCTGCCCCATGGACATGTATGTCTATGAACTTTTTTAATCGCTCAACAGGTTTGCTATCAGGTTTGACATAACGAACTATGAATGTAAGTTGGTCAGTATGACTAACATCCTGTGTGGAATCTACACTAATTGAATAATATTTGACTTGTTTCACTTCACTTATGATAATTGAGTGAATTTCTTCAGCCATCAGATTGACCATTTCCTCACAAATCGTTTTTGAGAGATATGAAATCTTTCTACTACCTACAGCACCATACTTCTCCAGATGCTGTGCAAGAAAAGGGTCAAATTTTGCCAGGAGTTCAAGTACTCCAAGGTAATTCCCATTGTTGCTAGAGCCTATTCTTTCATCACTACCTCTGAAAGGAAGACTTCTTGATGTTAAAAATTTTAGTGTTTCAACTATGTGCAATAGGACTTCTTTCCAGTATTTTCTCTCCAATTCTACTTGCAAAGCCAAAGTGGAATCAATTCGCCTTGCTGTAATTGCCCTCACACCCCAAGTAGTAACTGAGATTTTATGCCCTTTGCTACTTTCATGTTCAGCAACTCTATGCTGGCAGTTTTTCCAGTCGCTAAACCCACTAGTAAACAATGAGACTTGCTTGCTGAATAGCTTGCATGGAACACAAAATACATCTCCAGTTTTTGGAGAATACACAAGCCATTCCCTTTTAACTTTTTCATCATTTGTCATTTGACGTGTAAACAAGGATTTGGACATATATCGAACTCTTTCCTTTTCACCCACATTTTCACTTCTTGCAGATCTTGAGAAGTCACTTTGTTCACAATTTAGATCAAGAGGATGGTTTAGTAAATACTCAATCAGTTTATCATCAATTGTCAGCCAGTCAGCTGGATCACTTGATACACACAAATCAACACTGACACCTTGTTCCACAGAATGTTTCTTATAAGTCAACTGAGATGAATCGGATGAAGCTTCAGTCACAGGTGGTACTTCCATTGCTGTAGGTGCTGATTTACTTAATCTCTGTGACTGTGACTCAGCTGACCTCGCTTCGTCATCTGAATCATGAAAGTGAACATCTACTGTGTCATCCCCTGGGAGTTTACTGTCACTGGTACTTGGCTCTGAATCTCCTTTTGGTTTAAAAAATGTTGTCAGCTTTGGAACTGATTGCAGTTGTGCAGCTTTGGCTGCTTTTAACTTTCTCTTTTGTGAGCCACTCAAATATTTTTTCAGGGACGACATATTTATCTCGTGAGAATGCCCAAGAATAATCTGTAAGCAAAAAAATAGATACCAATATCACAAAAAATAGACACAAAAACACACGTAATATAACACTGAAGTCCATTTAATGCAACATATAAAATATCATTAGTAAATAATGAGTGCCACGTACACAATATAAAATATCACTGAGCTGAGGCTGAGAAGATACTGACTGGCTGAGCGAGCTGTCAGCAAACCAATGGTAACCCTGACACGGACTGAACATGAAACAATCCTGTCCTTCACACGTCAAGGCGCTGAATGTTTCTTGAACTTTATTCTCTCTCTCTCTCCCCAGTATATATGTATGTATAGATAGATAGATAGATCGATGGTGGGACACGGACGTTTAAAAATTTATATAAATTTTTTTTTATTATCTTATTTTATCTTATTTTCTTCATATTACTATAGAGCCTAGTCCGTGGCCCACCTGAGAACCACCCCATGGCCCACCAGTTGAAGACCACTGCGGGCCTATACTTATTGTACAGGGGTCCCATACTCCGGGCCCTATACTTATTGTACAGGGGCCCTTATGGTTGTGAATATATTATATAATGAAATACTCGGTGTACACTTGAAACAAGGTTATACGCTGGCACGCTGCGCAACAAATTAGTTTCAGTGGACCCCCAGATACCGGTGGGCCCTAGGCCAATGGCCTACTTGGCCTATTGGTAAATCCGGTCCTGGCAGTAACAACACCTTATGCTGAACGTGTAACGAACCTCACAGGTCTTTGTGGGATAGCAAAGCCCCAGAGAGAACATTACAGCATCATATTAGTATGGCAATAGGATGCCTATTTATAATGTACATTAAATTGGACTTTCTCCAGATAATAAACTTTTTACAGTATTGGAAAAAACGAGAAAAAATGTGATGTTCGTTACTTTGGAATTACTATACCTGTATACTCTCATTTCAAGCACATGTCAATGAAAAACTACACAAGATAAATTAAACATTCTAGCAGTGTTTACAACCCAACAGGATCCTTGTCATTCTTCTTCCATTTTAAAGAAGCCTCGACCTCTAGATATTTTGGCAAATGACGATAGTAATTGTCGTATTTTAGGTAGTTTGTTTTATCTGATACTTGAAGTGACGGTTTTGATTATATAGCTGTTTTTGTGGATATGTTAGAGACGTATTCTTTAAAGATTCATAAAATATTAAAGCTTTAGCTTTTAAAACACACACAATGTGTTGATTTTGGTGGATTTTCAGTTTTGGCTCTCAGTTGAGTTTTTGTGGAATGACCCTGGACATGAAAAAATACAGAAGTTTTGGATAGAGTTAATCAGGGTTTGCTAGGTAGTACAGTATAATAATATCGGGAGGATGAAAATTAAAAGATGGGTATAAAGAGAGTACAGTACAGTGAACCCTCACTTTACGGGGTCAATTGAACCCACGGCGGCCCGCGTAAAGTGAGAAACGCGTAAAGTGAACAACATAACATATGGGATTAATTGAAATAGAGACCGGGCCGACCCCCAAACTCCACTTTTCAGACACAATACCTACGTTGTAGTAAAAATAACTTCTTAATTTTATGATGGTATGCACACACAATTAATAATTAAGAGAAATATCAATAATATTAGGTTTTTTAACACTTGCATTAGTAGAAAAGATGGCTGGGCACATGGGGATTGGGGGTTGGTTCCGAGGCAGAGGGCAGATTATTGGCCCTCACCTGTATCACTTGTATCAATTGTATCACTATCCACCACAGAGGCTTGCAGGGCCTCTTTGTCAAACCCCTCAAAGTCCATATAAGTCCATATCCTCACTATCATTATCACTATCACTGACTTGGGCCGGCTGTGGTACGTGGCGGGTGAAGAACTCGGTAATGTTTTGATGACTGGGCAACCTTGTGTGCACCCTGCTCGCGCCGCTCTCCGCGTAAAAGGGTACACACACTGCGGAAAGTGAGCATTCCAGTTTCGGCAGGGTACCGCGTAAACGTGGAAACGCGTAAAGTGGGACCGCGTAAAGCAAGGGTTGACTACATTATATATATGGACGGTAGGAAAGATGAACTGAGGGGGGTGAAGAACTAGAAGTGTAGGGAATGGACAGCCAGGATGTAGAAGTGTATGTGAATGATACGAGAGCACTAATGTATGTCCGTGGTTTATGGGGATGTCACCCAACTTCTGGGATAACAGGAAAAAGGGTTGTCAGAGCGATGAAGAAAAATCTTATTTCCTCTGACAGAATTTAAGTAACCTAATTTATATATAATTGTGAGTGAGAGTGGAGGTAGGATTTGGTGAGAGGCTCAGAATTCTTATACTGTACTGCACTGTACTTACCAAGTTCGTTGTGCTAAAACTTCTCTACTATCTACTTAAAATAGCATCTGGTGCTTTGCTCATGGTACTTTTTTTTCTATGTCTTTACATGCATGTATGTAGATGTATTATTCATGTGGCCTTGATGTACTTTACTGGTAAGGTTTTAGCAAATGTACATCATCGTACAAGAATAATGGTTGTCTTTTTGTAAATATATGACTGTTCAGGGTTGATGATTATTAATGTGATATACTGTACAGTAATGGTTAATATTCATTAAGTTAAGCTAAATGTGATCTCTTCTTATCTTTGAGTTTATAAGAGATTCATTTCTCATATAAAAATACTCCCACAACATACAAATTGACAGTGTAAATGAAAAAAAATGAGATTCAGTGGATTTATTGAGTAGAGTACAGTATTTATTATTTACTGAATAAAAGATTTATATTTAGTAAATATTAGGGTTTTTTTATAATACAGGGTACAGTACTGTACTGTACTATGATGTTTGTTAAATGTTATGCTGTATGCTGAGAGCATTGTTGCACTATGTACTGTACTGTACTTGAAATTTTTATTTGTCACAAATTCAGGTTGATGCATTCTGAAAAAGCTTTTGATTGAGAACATGTTAAAAATAACAGACATATTAGGCTTTCTTAAATAAAGCTTCCAGTGAATTAATGACGAAATAATGTTTCTGGGAAATAATCATCTGGTATGTTGTAAAAGACTTACAACATACCAGATGATTATATCCCAGAAACATTATTTCGTCATTAATTCACTGGAAGCTTTAAGTCTTTTTCTTTAAGCCTGGCAACAGTGAACATGTTCTACGATGTACATTTAAAAAGCTCTATTAATTATACAACTGTAGTGTACAAAAAGCTGTTCTGATTTCACTATAGTGTGCAAAAAGCTGTTCTGATTTCACTATAACTTGTATGTGCTTTTAAAAGGTCCCCTTCATTTAGAAACTGAATGTTGGTATCTGCAATTAATAGATTTTAAAAGCAAAACCCAAAACTGCATCACACCTAATGGATTCTTAAATGGAAAAGCAATGTTTTTGCACAAATGTTTCATATAAAGTATAGTATGTTGTGAATCAAATATTTTTTTTTTTACTGTGTACTGTATGCTGATATTGAACTATGGTTTACTGTACAGTATCATGGCTCCTTTTTTTAGGTTTATGCGGTTAATTAAACCCATGGAGGTCCGCGTATAAAGCGAAACGCGTAAATAAAATAACAAAACATATGGGATTAATTGAAATAGAGACTGGGCCGACCGCCAGACTACTATTTTTTTTTGGGCTATCTCCGACACAATACATACGTTGTAGTAAAAATAACATCTTAATTTTATGATGGTATGCACACACAATTAATATATAAGAGAAATATCAATAATATTAGGTTTTTTAACACTTACGTTAGTAGAAGAGATGGCTGGGCACACAGGGATGGGGGGGGTTGGTTCCGAGGCAGAGGGCAGATTATTGGCCCTCACCTGTATCTCTATCCACCACAGAGGCTAGCAGGGCCTCCTCGTCAAACCCCTCAAAGTCCATATCCTCACTATCACTGACTTGGACTGGCTGTGGTGGGTGGCGGGTGAAGAACTCGGTGATGTTTTGTTCACGGCTAGCATTGATGTGGTCGTGATACAGCTTAACATAGGGCTCCAGGGATTGCAACTGAAGGTTATTAGACACTTCGTAGCGATGATTGACTGGGTCTTTGACAAGGAGGAGCTTCAATCTCTCAGCTGCCTCGATGATTTCCTACACATAAGCATGTGTTAGTTTCTGCTCTTGTTGTTCTGTAACACCTCGCTGCTCACTGACATCATCTAGCAACATGTCGTCTGCAGTCACCTCAGGTTGCCTGATTACCTCCAGGATGTCCTCGTTGGTGGTCTCGGAGAAGCCTGCAGCTTTAACACTTTGTGCAGCCTCTCTTGCATTCTCCAATGCCACAGCAACAGACTGAGACTCGCCAGCCACCGCTTGTCTCTGCCTCCCACCTGGGATACCCTCCAACACATGATGCCACGTGTGACAAATCGTTGCCACAGATAGCTGCCCCCATGCCTCCACCAAGAAATCAACAGCCTTCTTCACGTTAAACAGTTTTCAGAACTGCTTGACTCGCACTTCATGGTCAGCCAAACCTTGTTCATGATCCTCGTCCTCACTCTCGCTATCTGTGCCACTCTCTAGGTTCTGCAATTCATCCTTGGTGTTGGTGAAGTCGTTCAGAAGCCGAAACTTCTTGGCGGAGAAAGCAGCCTTCACATTGCAAATCAACTCCTAATCAATGGGCTGGATTAACGACGTAGTGTTAGACGGAAGGAAGACCACTTATACGTTGGGATGACGATCCAGCAAAATGGGCGAGTGTCCTGGTGTGTTATCGAGGAGCAACAAAATGTTGAACGGCACATTATTTTGCACGCAGAATTTCTTGACATCAGGAACGAGACAGGTGTCTAACCATGAGAGGGACAGACCAGATAACATCCACGCCTTCCCTGAGGTTAGCCAGTGGACATTTAACTTCCTCATGTCCATATTCTTGTAGGCATACGGCTTGCGGGCTTTATGTATCACAGACAACTTCAGCTTAGCAGTGCCGGAGGCATTGGTGGTGAACAGTACGGTGATGCGCTCCTTCTGCATTTTGTGCCCTCGACACTTACTCGCAGACTTGACTACAAAGGTCTTGGATGGCAATGTCTTCCAGTACAACACTGATTCGTTCATATTGAACACTTGGTCGTTGGTGTACTGTCCTTCCTCCATAATTTTCCGTAAAAATGGGGGAAAATTCATGGCGGCAGCCCAGTCAGCACTTGCTCCTTCTCCGACTATCTCAATATTCGTAATCTTGTTGCGTTGTCTAAAACCTTGCAGTCACCCAGCGGAAGCAGTGAAGGGCGTGGGCTCTGCAACTCCCATTTTTCTTGCCACTGATTTGTACAGTTCTCGGGCGTAGTCCTGCACTGCCCGAGTGTCGACCGCCACGTTCCTTCTTGACTGACGAATAATGTAGCTTACCAACAAACCCTCGGTCTTCAGCAGCACCTTATTGTGGCAGTATTTCACCAGCGAGGCACCTACAGACATCCTTCTTGATCGTGCGTATCGTCGATTCATTCACTCCATATTGTCTGTCCAGATCCACCTGCCTCGTGCCTTTTTCTAACACCTGAACGATCTTGTACTTAACCTCATAGCTTAAGGCGCGTCGCACCCTCTTGGGCTTGGGGCGGCTTGGGCCAGGTAGTTCAAGGTTTCTCAAGGGTGGTGGGGGTCCAACGGAAGCCGTTGTGTAGAAACAAAAAAACAAAACAGGTTCCTGGGCACGAGTGAATATACGCGGGGACAATGAGACTGGCGCGGCCAAGGTCATCAGCCCTGGTGGCAGGACAAGCAAGGTTAAATAGACCAATCACAGTGCTCGGTGGAGGGGGTGCATGGGTGGTAAGGATACGTAGCTCAATCACAGTCTGCGACGTCATCGGCACGAGTCTGACATCAGCGGTGACGTCAGCGCCCAGCACCTTGCCCGCCGCGTATATGATGGCATTTACCGTGTAAAGAATAATTATCGCGTCTGGACAGGTGAAGCGTAAATGGCAAATAGCATATAAAATATCCGCGTAAACCCAGACTATACTGTGTGTGTGTGTGTGTGTGCGCTCGCGCCCCAATTTAACGGTCCGTGTAAAACGAGAAATGCGTAAATGGAATAACAGAACATGGGATTAATTGAAATAGAGACTGAGCCGACTCCCAAACTCCACTTTTTCCGACACAATACCTATGTTCTAGTAAAAATAACATCTTAATTTTATGATGGTACGTGGTCAATTGAACCCACAGAGGTCCGTGTAAAGAGAGAAATGCGTAAATGGAATAACAGAACATGGGATTAATTGAAATAGAGACTGGGCCGACTCCCAAACTCCACTTTTTCCGACACAATACCTATGTTCTAGTAAAAATAACATCTTAATTTTATGATGGTACGCACACACAATTAATATGTAAGAGAAATACAGTCGCCAGGTTAATGTCCATTCAAATAATGGACTCAACTCCCCCCCCCCTCTTCCCACACTCGCTGGCTCCTCCCTCTCTGAGAAATGTTTGGGTGAAAACACTAGATTTTAAGGTATAGTAATTTGTAATACCTCAAACTAAAGTTAGGATAATATAATTGACATTGCTGGATTCCTTGCAAGACCAGGAATATTTTGAGTATACACGTCATATATTTTGCACAAAAGATAACATATTTGCTCTGAGTAAACAAAATTCTTACATTAGATCTAAAACTTGTATGTCTAATGCAAAATCTATGATGTTTATATTCAAAATGATCATCAAATTGTAAGAATTCCAGCAATGTAAATTATATTCTGGCCGGGTAATTTGTATGAATTTTATGAGCTAAATAAAACAATTATACTTCACCCGCATATATGAGTAGATGCACCGCGTAAAGTGGGAATTACGGTTCTGGCAGGGTACCGCATAGCGTAAATGTAAAAACGCGTAAAATAAAAACCGCGTAAAGCGGAGTATTACTGTGTGTGTGTGTGTGTGTTTTTTTTTGTTTTTTTTTAAACATCAACATCATGTTTGACAGATTCAACCAGTGAATAGTACATGTTTGGACATAAATAATACCTCTTTTATTACAAATGTCTCAAAACAGAATACTACTGTACAGCTTCTCACAAAGCTGACAGCTTTCTGCTTATGTTAAGTGCTGAAGATTTACCAAAATACTGAGCTTAGTAATATCTCTGCATACAGAGTATTCTGTGCATATATACAGTTGTGTTTTATATTTTAAGTTGTTAGTTATTTACTCTACAAACATTCATGTAGTTACTAGACCTTAAAAACACAAACAACTTTTAACTTTCATGTGGAATTAACAGTTGTAACACAGTAAGGTACTTCAACCAATGCTTTAAGACTACAGTATAATGTGGCTTGTTAGTTGTGGGTTTTTTTATGAAATGTATTTTTAGAGGTGTGGGTACAGTAACTTTTGATGATCACTGACATAATACTTTATGTACAGGTATTATGGAAGAATGGAATATGACCAAAAGTTTATTTGTTGATAAATGTGGAAAATAAATATGTAAACATCATTTGTGTAAGAGTAGAAGGCTTCCCACATACTGTATACATTTATTGTATATTTAAATGGGATCTTTATGAAAGCACATTTTCCATATAAAACTCATCAAAATGAGAATGTAGTACAGACTGCATTTTTAAAGAATGTTAATGTGTTAAAATCCTCATTTATATCAAATAAGCTGAAAAAGAAGACTTTGCAAATGTAATCCAGAAGCAAGTTTACAACCTTTATAGGACCATAAGACTGATGCACAACTGTTTTAATAACTTGTAAGCTTGTCATTTGAGCTTTTTAAAAAGAAAGTGGTATAAGCCACGGAATATTTTATGACATCATAGGAAAGAGTAATTACTGTATTGTTGTTTACATGTGCAAGAGAGGTGTTCTATTTTTGTGGTACAGTGTATTTGAACATGCCAATATATTCTTAAGATAGGTGAATTATTCATATTTTAGATAAAATTTAAATTAATTTGTTTTAAATAAACTCTTAACTTGACAAATGAATAGAAGAAATTGATTTTTGGGAAAAGAACTCAGGATATAAAAAAAAAATATTTAATATTACTAATTGTTTTGATAGAATTACTGTAAGTGTAGATATGGTATGTATTTAAATGAATATAAATTTACATATTTACACACACACACATGCATTGTGTGAAATGGCCTAAACTTAACATATAAACAAAAATTAACAGTAATCGTTGTTCTAAATAAATCTCCTTTCCCCTAAGGAATTTAAACAAAAAATATGTACTGTACATTTCTGGTAAAAGTAGCTAAGCTCGATTGTACTCTCCAGTGCTAACAAACTGTATCATAATGTATTAGAAGTCAGATTAGAATAGGTTTACCTGGTTCATAAGGTTAAATGGGTGTTGTACTGTACAAGCTAAGTTACATGTACAGTAGGATAGGACTCATAGCAATGGATTTAAGTTGGATAAGTTTAGGTTTAGGAGGGAGATAGGAAGGAACTGGTTCACAAATAGGGTGGTAGACGAGTGGAACAAGCTTAGCAACTTTGTGGTAAGTGCTGGAATGCTGGAGAGTTTTAAAAGGAGGCTAGATAGATTCATGGATGATAGAAAGTGGTAGTAACTCTCGACAGGAGCTGCCATGCATAGGCCAACTGGCCTGTTGCAGACTCCTTATTTTCTTATGTTCTTATGTACTGTAATAATTTCTATGAAAAGCTAAATATTGTTGAAACTTATTCTATTGAGAAATTTGTCTTAAGCCTTATCAATTCACTACTGGATGAGACATCTCTTAGTAGTTCAGTATAATATGGCATGCAGCTATAGTATGAGTGGCCAAGGAACCAATGGTGTGTGTGTGTGTTCCAACATTTGTCTTTTGTAGTGGATAAAGAATTTTGTGCCTTTTTATAGAAAACTTGAATGAATGCTTTAAAAAACTGGCTATGACTAGGTTAGCAACAAATAAATGAGAAGTGAACATTTAGTTATAAATACATTTTATATTATGTTTAAAGATAGTGGCAGAATGAGCTTTTTCTTTCTCTTTTTTTTTTGGGGGGGGGGGGTGTAACCAAAGTGCAGAGCTTTACTCAATACTGATATGTTAATGAAGAAGTTAATAAATGTGAAAAAAAAATTGATTTTTATTCATGACTTTTAGTTCTGATATGATAACACTTACCTACAGTACAGTAGTGGTCATAAGTAATCAGCACTCCACCACCTAACCCCTGCACCTGGCTGGGTCCTTTCTGCAAGGTAAGTAGGTGGGGTGGAGAGGGGCAATGGTCTACTTGGGGGAGTGCCGTTTGTTGGGAGGCTGGGCTCAGATTCACTAACACTGCTGAGATACGAAGTTAGTAACTGCCGGGAGATCTGAAGTCCATATGAACTACCACAAGAGCGATTCACTAACAGATCGTAAATGAGTTCTGGTGTTCGTATGAACTCTAGCGTTAGTTCTTAAAATGCTGACAGGTGGCGTTGGTGTGTCTCCTATTGGCCAATCACTGTGACTGATACATAACTGAGTAGGAGACATTAACCAATCATGTCATAACAAAATTAGACCCTGCAGGGTGCACTTGTGATTTCCATCGACAGCCACCCTTATCTGAACAATGAATACTACATCGACACAGTAAATGCCGAAAACAAGAAGAATAAGGAAAGTCATTTCTAGTTTTAGGATTTTTAGAAGTTAGGTAAGGTTTTTAAAGGTTTCTTTGGTGTCCTTTATAGTATTTTACCCCATATTTTCCCTCTTTAAACCCTGCCCACTTTGAACAACCGATGTTGTTGGTAATTGGAAGTAACAAAACATTATCATGTACTGTTAGGTAAAGCTTCCTACTCCTGATTAGATATAACATAAAGGTTACTCTCATATGTGGTTAGAACCTTGGCAGCCTTACCTAACCTTGGCTTTCAATCTTCCTAGATTACAATGACTGTCATGACAGTCTTGATCCACTTTGTAATTTTAATCATGTATTTACAGCGGTCCCTCGGTTAACGAACACAATTCGTTCCAGAAGGTCGTTCGTTAACCAAAAATTTCGTTAACCGAAACTATTGTTTCAATGGGATTTTGGGAAATTGGTTCCAGCTCACCGAAAATTACATACAAACTAAAAATAAATGCAGTAAAGTACACTTACTTTGAGGTGTGCATGTAGAAGGCTCCTGGTTGATGATGATGATGATGGGAATTAGAATGGGGTGGAGGAGAAGGAAGAAGAGAAGGCATTGGGGTGGAAGAGAAGTCACCCCATGCTTCATATCGCCATTTCACCATAAAATTTTAGTTCACTTGGTGTGTAATTCAAGATTATTTTCTTTAAATCAACACTGCACTGCATTATATATTGTCAATATGTAAAATAAACTTCAGAATGACCAATAATTGTACTGTAAAAACGTAAAAATAGTTTATGTTCAAGAGAGTCTCAAGCAAGAAGCTTCCTCCACTGAGCAGGGACACACACTGATGCCATTTTGGGTGAGTCAAGTGGCTGTTTGGCGCGCTAAAAACTAGTTCCCTGTACTTCAATTATGTTAAATAATTGTTAAAATGACTAAAAACTTTAATGTAAGACTTGGAAATTTATTTAATAGTACAACCTTCTTGATATTTACTCAAATGGTAACGAATTTAAGCCCTAAAACATTCAATGTGCTTGAATATTTCTCAGGCAAATGTGAATAACAAAGTGTGTAGCCAGACATACTGCCTAACACAGTTATTAATAAGTTACCCTTCATGTATAGAACTAAACAAATAATGTACAGTACTATTTGAAATACTGTTTAACATTGTGCCATAATATCCTGACCACAGGGGGTTAATTATTCTGACTCTTTGTAAACCATACTCTGTAATCCTTTTGCACTACCGCTCACAGGATGAGTATGGGGTGCACAATAAACTAGCCGCTAGGGGCCACCAGACTGGTGCCTGCACTTCAGCACCTTAGCTACCCTGAGAGATTGCAGCGCCTGAACTTGCCTAGCTTATACTACAGACGGGCAAGGGGTGACCTAATTGAGGTGTATAAGCATCTCAGGGGGCACTACTCAGTCTAGTGTCCTTACTTGGAGCTGGCGGACGCTCGCCCTACAAGGGGTCACAGCTCAAGATTGAAAAAGCTGCAAGTCCAGAAAACTTTGAGGGCAATTTTTTTCGGTGTGAGAGTTGGAAACTCTTGGAACAATATCCCACAAAGTGTCGTGACGGCTCCGAGTGTGAGCTCTTTCAAGACAAGACTTGACCAACACTGGACTTCTCACCACGAAGATTAATTCAACACCTTGAAAAATCTGCTATGTAAACAACCAATTCTTCAGTTGCCTAATTTTGATAAACCTTTCATTCTCAGAACAGACGCTTCTCTGGAGGGCGAGGTATATCCGGTGGCATACCATAGCAGAAAACTAAAGCCCGCAGAGAAGAATTACACTATGGTTGAAAATGAATTACTAGCCGTAGTGGAAGGTATGAAGAAATATTATTTTTATTTATATGGTGGAAAATTTTCCTTAGAAACAGATCACCTGCCTTTAACAAGCCTCCGCACATCTAGAAACTCAAATGCAAGATTAACACGGTGGGCGTTATACCTCCAACAATTCAATTTCACGATTTGATATATAAAAGGAAGTGAAAATCTCGGAGCTCATCTTCTTTCTAGACAAATGGTAGAGGATACAGATATTCAGTAGATGAACCTACGTCGGAAATAGGGCCATAGAATTGTGGAATTTTCCTTTCCAAAAGAAAAATTTATTTTAACAGGGGCAAATGTCATGCCATGACTATGGACCAGCTGGCTAAGTACTTGTTGGCTGGTTCAAGCAGCAATTACTGACGTCAATCAACGTCACAGTGCGTCATAATTGGACTGGCCAGTGAGACGGGACGACGAGGTGAGCCCGATCAACACTTACTGCCATGAGCTGTGTGCTGTAGGAGTTCTGCCGTGTGTGTGTGCTGTGGGAGTACTGTCGTGAGCTGTGTGTTGTAGGAGTACTGCTGTGAGCCGTGTGCTGTAGGAGTACTGCTGTGAGCCGTGTGCTGTAGGAGTACTGCCGTGAGCCTTGTGCTGTGGGAGTCCTGCTGTGTGTGTGTGTGTGTGCTGTGGGAATACTGTCGTGTGTGTGTGTGTGTGTGTGGGAGTACTGTCGTGAGCCGTGTGCTGTAGGAGTACTGCCGTGAGCCATGTGCTGTAGGAGTACTGCCGTGAGCCGTGGAGTCCTGCCGTGTGCTGTGGGAGTACTGCCGTAGCAGTACTGCTGTGTCTTACCAGTGTTGTGTGTTTTAATTATTAAATAGTTAAACCACCCTGATACGTTGTTCATACTAACCCTATTATTCTATTGGAAATAGCATAACACTCGCCAACTGTTGGTTTCCGAGGTGATTGGTTGGTGTTTTTACATTATTCTTGATGTAATTAATTACTGAAATTAATCTCACCAAATTTCAAGTCTGAGAAAAAATCATTTGGGTGAAAACACGTGTAAGGGTCTCCCCCTACAGATTTTTTCAGGGACAAGGCAATTTGCAATATATGTGATTTTGTTCAAAATCTTTAGTAGTGTATTGTACTGTATAGGTACTCCTGATAATGGTGATTCCGAATACATTATCAACAGTTCGATTGCAGAATAATTAGTTGTTGTAATGTCCCTCCCTGGGGCCCCCAAGGGACCCTCCCAGGGGCCCCTCCAGGGACTCTCCCAGGTGCCTTCCCAGAGGCTGTCAGGGGCCACCCAGGAACCCTCCCTGGGGTCCTACTTGGAGCCCTCCCAATGGCCCTCCTAGAGGCCCTCCCAGGGGCCCTTAAAAGAGCCCAGGGACTCTCCCAAAGGCCCTCCCAGAGGTTCCCATGATTTTTTCTAGAAAATTTACAAAATTGTTCCAGAAAATTTCCAGATTTTTTCCAGAAAATTTCTAGTATTTTTCCAGAAATTTTAAAATTTTCCCAGAATTTCTCCAGGTTAGGTTAGACTGCTGTTAGTTTATGTCGTTAGGCTTAGGTTAGGATGCGTTAAGTTTATGTTGTTAGGTTAGGTTTCTTGTTATTTTCAATTTTGTCAATCGATATTAATATTCTTTTACTTCAAAAATATTCTGTATCGACATTTGCAGTAGAGTTGCATAGGAGCACAAATCGTTTGCATGTACTTAAAAATTGGAGGGACACGAGTGTTGTGTGGCGACAGCAAGTCTGGTGTAGCGTCTCCACCAGTCTCTGAGGAAGGATGTATGGCTTTACCCGTACAGGTGTTGAACTACTTAATTGTATGGTATGATCATCAACCAAGCCAACCCTAGGCTTGTCCGAAAAAATATCTGAAAATCGGCGTAGAAGGGTCATAACTTGTTCTTTTTTCTGGACAGAGATTTGTCCCCAGAGTTAAATTATAAACTGTCTCCAACTGCTGGGCTTGTACAGTGATAAGTTTGTGTTCATCGTCACTGGTAGGGACCAAGGCAGCTGCACAAATGATGGAGTTATCCGGGCAGTAGTGACCCCTCACTAGGTACTGCTGTTGTTCAGGTGACCATTCACGGAAACCAGGTATTCCTAAGGATGGTAATATTCTGGAATACATTTCCAAGCAATAGCTGCACCCCTTTCTTCTCTGTAGTAGTATCTTTTAATCATATTTGTGAAATCTTTTCCGATGATTTCCTACTTGGATAATATAATTGTAGTCAGATACACGTTGGATAATGTCGTAAGGGCTCTTATACTGCGCCAGAAGTTTGTTGTGCACAGTGAGGAGTAAGACCAGGCACTTGTCCCCAACGTTCAACTGACGAAGCTTTGTTTTCCTCATAGTAGCTCTTCTGAGTGTGCTGGGCGTTGATGAGCTCTTGTATGGCCAACTCACATGTAGCTTGAAGACGGTCAGCGAGGCGTAAGTGGTCTGTACTTCTGGGTCAGGCTGCTCGTCATCCCATAATTCACGCAATATATGCAAGGGTCCTCGAACAGTTCTCCCATACAGCAATTCGAATGGGGAAAACTTAAGGGAACTCTGCGGAACCTCGCGATACGCAAAAAGCAAGGGAGCAACGTAGCAAGGCCATTCCTTTGGTTGCTCAGCTGCCATCTTCTTTAGAGTCCCATTGAATCGCTCGCATAGTTCGTTGCAACTCGGGTGGTAGGATGATGTGCGTATTCCTTTTACCAACAACAGATGGAATACTTCCTCCATCATGGTGGAGATAAACTGACTACCTCTGTCGCTTAGCACTTGCTTGGGAATGCCAGTTCTGCAGAATATTTCCAGCATTGCTTCAGCAACGGTTACAGCCTCGATATTCTTCAGAGGTACGGCTTCAGCCCACCTCGTGCTGGAGTCAATGAGTGTGAGGATATACTTTGACCCATCGCTTGCCCTAGGGTTGATGGGCCCCACAAGGCCAACGGCAACCCTCTCAACAGGCTCAGAAATTACTGGCAGAGGCTGCAACGGACTAGGTCTCACTGGTTTTTGGGCAGATATCGCACAAACGCACCAGTCTCTCTATCTCCTTCTCCATGCCAGGCCAGAAAAATATGGCCTGTATGCAATCAAGAGTTTTTTGTACCCCATGTGACCATCGAGAGCAGCACAGTGACCCATCTTAACACTTCCTTACGGTATTTAGCGGGAACCACAAACTGTAGACGTTCCTCCTGTTGTGGTGTGACAGACTCACGATACAAACGGTTCCTTTTCTTGACAATTCTTATTCGGTTGCCATAAGAATTTCCGACGGTCTTTGCCAGTAAATTCCTTCATACCGTATTGAGCGTGGGGTCTGTTTCTTGTTCTCTCAGTACGTCTTGACTGTCCATGAGGTCAAAAGGTGCCGTAACAACCAGTGGAATGGCATGTGGTCGTGTTCAAGCCACCTGTCGGGTCACGGCGGCAGCAGAAGTCTGGGTGGTCGCCTCCATGAAGCAGCTACTCTTAACCCCTTCAATGTTCCCAATTATCACTTCAGAAATTGGCTCAGACATAACTGTTGCATTAATCCAACCAGTGAAGAACGGGGATTCCACGTGCACTCTTGCTTCAGGCACAGTTGTGATAGATCCATTATTCATCTTGACGTGAATCTACCCACACGTGAACTGATGGCTTAGTACCAAGGTCTTCTTCACCACATAGCCCGAGGATCCATTGTCCCTCATAACACTGACTGCTTGGTTTCCGACATACCCAGGCTGGATAATGAAGTTGGCATGCCAGTGACAAGAGTGTATGGTGGCGGCTGCTAGTCAAAACTTGTGATGCCTCTGATCCGAGTCATCCTGAGGTGGAGGTTGTAACTTCTGAAGGGGGTTCAAGATCCTCGTTGTGGTGGAACGCAGCGACAGCGGTTGTCTGTTGTCGGATATCACTGTGATTAAACCCTGAACGCCATTTAGTCTGGTCCCTCTTGTAAGCCTGATATGACGAATGTGGGCGATATAAATGCTGGTTTCCTTCCTGTGACTGATCTTTGTACAGGGGAGGTGCTAATGGTTTTTTACCTTGCCACGCTTTCCTTGGTTGGTAGCCATATGCAGAAAAGTGAGTGTCTGCGTTTTCAGCCATCTTTCTAAAGGTCCCCGCCTTGTCAATCTTGAACTGGGAGATGAGCTCGGGTGGGCAAGAATTTTCAAATTGGTTGCGCAGCATTAAATCCTTCATTACCTCTTTGTCCATGCTGATCCACTGGTTTAAATAAGCAGTGAGACTGGCTGCAAACTGAGTAGCGGTCTCCTTGTCCTGCATCGTAGCACCAAGAAACTGGGATCTTGCTTGGTCTACGTTAAATCCATAAGCCTTAAGAAGAGCTGACTTCATCACGTTTTATGTCTTCTCACTACTGCTGATACGATGCAGGATTTCCAGTGGCTTTCCCTCGAACAGGCTCATGAAGTGGAGACATTTCATAGACTCGCTGAAACTGTAGAGCTCTGCCAGATCCTCAAACCGTTGTATGTATGGTTCGTTGCTCGTTGAACATTGGTAGTTTTACGCGAGGAAACGAGGATACGGTAGGCGTCTGGGCGAGGAAATCCTGTTTAACTGTTGCAATCTTCCATTCGTGTTTCCTGGCTTTCTCACTTCTAATTCTCCAAACTCCAAGCTCGTGAAGGTGTAGCTTTCCTTGCTCTTCCCGTTCTTTGGCTCGCTCTTCCCATTCCTCGGCTTTCCTCACGTTCTTTGACTTGCCTAGTCAACACATAATTCCTAATTTCAGGAGGTTCACTGAGCCCCATCAGCTTTGCTTCCTCAAATAATTCTGATGGAGACATCTTACCTGCTTTACCAGACGTAACTGTACCCAAACTGTTTCGTCAGAACTCGTCTTCGGCCACCAATCAGTCCATCCTTCGGTTGTCCCTGTTCGGGCGCCAGTTGTTATAGAATAATAGGGTTGGTATGAACAACGTATAAGGGTGGACTTAACTATTTAATAATTAAAACACACAACACTGGTATGACACACGACAGCACTCCCACAGCACACGGTTCACGGCAGTACTCCTACAGCACACAGCTCACGGCAGTACTCCCAATGACCACTAATTAATCTGCAATCGAACTTTTGATAATATATTCGGAATCCGCATGCTCAGGAATATCTAGACGGAGATTTTGAACAAAATTGCATTTATCGCGATTTGTCTCGGTCCTGAAAAAACCTGCGTTTTTTCACCCAAATATGATTTTCTCTCAAACTTGAAATTTGGTGGGATTAATTTCAGTAATTAAATACTATCTAACACATGAAAAAAAAATAAAATATTGTTTAACTTTGGTACATTACCTTAAGGGTGCAGTCTGGGCTCACCACCACAAGGGGGTAAACAGGGATGGGGCAAGTAAGGGCCTTACTCTGTGCATCTCTCCCCAAGATGGCCCTGCCAACAGACTAAAATTTTACCAACACAAAATCGCATAAGCGGGTGAAGCTTTCATAACTCAAAGTAGTGGTGTCAATTTAGGAAATTCGTACGAGTGCAATTTTCATGTCTTGAACACTTGTATCTCGAAGGATACCTATATCCCTATACTTATTAGTCCCAAAGAATATCATGCATTGATAGTATGTTATGAATGAGAAGAAATGATAAATAGTAATCAACATTTATGAATGCAATAACTTTAAAAATTAGACAGCAGAAAACAAAAATATTATGATTTTGTTTTTTGACACTTTGAACATTATATAAAGAAACTGATAAAGAATGTCATTGGGGAGGGGGGAACATATACTTTATTAATATACCAATATGTACATAAAATATTTTAAATATACCCATACCATTATATTTTTCATCACTTTCAAAATAAGTTGCTGGGACTTATATACTAACAAAAAAGGAATAAAATAGAGCTAAATAATATTCTAATATACAACAGGGAAGTTTAAACTATCCAAGCTTCAGTGCTGAGGCCACACAACAGGCACCTCAATCCTGCCCATCACAAGGGAGATCGATTCTTCCAGTAATTTGCTTTAAGTTAGCAATCTAACAAATTAGTAAATGATTTATCTCAGTTGAGTAAAGACTTCAGAGCAATTCTACAGGAAAGTGCTACTAAAAAAAATTTCCCTACTAAAATATATAAATATTTCTACCAAACCCTTCATAACCACGGAATAAATGAGTACCATAGCAGACAAAGCACCTACAGATGAAGGTAAATTATCTTCCAGCTTTACTCCAAATTACATTAACCAGAATCAATTGCTTAAAGTTAAATTTAGACCAAAATCTTCGAATCAATAGTTGAGACAATTGAAGTGTCATTTAAATGTTTTTCAATCATTAAGCTAACTACAACCATTAGAAATGCACCATAAAATAAGGCTATATAACCAATATACAATCAACTAATACAATAAAATTTATATCATAACATGCAACTACTATAAAATATGTGAATAAACACCTTTTAAATAAGTATACACTTTTTCCCTCAAGTATTTTCTCCTTTTAACGGTCAATCACCTGCTACATTCATACATATATTTATCATTAATTAACCAGTATCTATTAACATTGTCAAAGAGATTATTAGAAGGAAATTCCAAAAAACTGCAGTAGCCTTCTGTTCAAATTTCAATGAACACAATCATCCACTGTACATCATTCCTTAGTAACCCACCACTCATTTACCTCAAGAAATTTCCAAATATTTTATATTGCAAGGATGAAGGGTATTCTTAATCAATCATGCATGCACAGAACTAGGTATTCTTTGTGACAATTTCAATCAAATACATAGAGCTGATTGAGGTATAAATGTAGGGGATTGACTTGTTGGCACCATGACTCCCAGCCACTATCAACACCTCTGATATCTCCATTTACTTAAAAAAATTTCACACTGGAACATGTATGAGCAGTCAGGTATCAATCATGTCTGAAAGACTTGAAACTGCAACAAGCACTGAATAGTGAATAGCTATACAATATATTCATTCAATACATAGATATTGCATAAAAATTTTGAATTTAACTTTGATATATATATACCTGCACAAATGAAAGCTGGGACAATTTGAACAGCACAAAAAGAACACTAATATTCATATATCTTTAACAAAATGTACTTGGGTAATAGATATCATTGCACTTTACCTGCTCAATGTGGTGAATACATACGACCATATCAGTGAAAACAATCTACTAAAACAAAGAAATAGGACAGTGATGCTTATGATATGCAACAAACACAATTTACAATAAAATACTGTCCAGGGGCCAGCAGGGATAAAATGAACGGATACATTCACTACAATATAATACAATAAGCTTTATAGTGAACCATGACACCACCACAACCATCTGGACATAAGCTTGCCTCTGGTCCTTAACAGTATCACATATCAGAGTAATAAGGTCAAGTAGTAGTAAAAAAAAAAAAAAAAAAGAAAGACGAAAGAAAGATCTGGCAATGGTGCTGGATCTTATTTTCTCACCACTTCGGCATAACAAAGCTGGTCTTATTCAAACATAGCAGTGCTGTAATAGGACATAATTGTTTGATACCATATTAATTTTTGCATTTTAAATATATATATATATTTTTTTAAATTTACAGTCATTCACTTAAGACCTCAGTGCAACAATAGACTATGTTAAAAATTTAAGTTTCCTGGAGACAGATTTTGTTTCATGGTCAATAATGATGCTGAACAGATGAATACCTAATAATTTCTGTGTATTGGTCGAATTATGAGAAAATCTGCGTACAGTACTCCATGATTACTATATTTATCCACAACCTTAATTACTAATTTAATAGTTCTTGAAATAGTCAGAGGATAAACTTCCAAAATACAACTATTGCTGATATAATATTGGTACTACAACACTGCCAAATATTAAACTTAATGTGGTCACCTAAAATATTTGAAAACTGACATGGGCTTTTATTGCACTGAGGTACAGAATTAAATGCTTCATGAAATTTTGCTAATGTAAACCTAATATAAAAACTATGAATCACATAAAAATTATGGTTTCAGATACTATCGTCTTGCAGGAAGTGATCGCCTCCCAGGCCCAGGTCTCCTAGTTTGGCTGGGGTTGGCATTAGTAGATGTCTTAAACTGTGTAGGGTTAAAGAATTGTGGTTGACCAATTGGCTGGCCCATCATAGGCACTGACCCATTCCCTTCAGTGCCTTCACTCAATGTCCCCTGTTGAGTAAATAAGAAATAAAATGTTTAAAACTGTTAGGAAAAAAAATCTTTCGTTTCTGAAATTAATTTACCATCAATAAAGTGTATAAACTTAAAGGTCAAGTTCACTTAAAGACAAACATTTTATGAATACAAGGTATTCATCAATCAGTTAACAAATAATTAACTACCAGCTTTTGTTCATCATTATAATCAGTTATGAACTATAATAATGGTAGTACAGTACTGTAATAAACCAATGGAAATATAATACAGGTTGACAACCCCTTATCCGAAATTCCGAAAACCTCTGAAAACCGAAAGTATTTTGTGGAGCAAATTTTTTTTAACAGGGATCAGTCCACCTAGGCACAGGTCACTGACCCACATCAGGGCCGGGGCAAAAATTTTATAATAATTATAATAATAATTATTATTCATAATAAATAAAATTTATAATAAAAAATACACAAAAATAAAATAATACCTGTTATGATAACAACAATAATAATAATAAAATAATAATAAAATTAATAATAATAATAATTACTAAGCACATAAACTAATTCAATAGATATTAGCTGCCCATACTACAAATTTAATAGTATAAACTTTCCAAACAATATTGATATTATTTTGGTTTTGGTCATCTGGGGAACCTTAAGATTCTAACTATAGGATTAAGTACTTTAAACAATAAGAAACATTATCTCTACAGGATTTCTGTCGCAAAACATTTTTCAATCGCATAAGAAAATACAGATCATAGGTTAGGTTAGGTTAGGGTATGATGAATTATAAGGTTAGTTTAATATATAATTCGGTAAGGGGGAGGTAGTAACTCAAAACTAGTGATTTCCGATTGAAATGAAGGTCAAAATCGTTCATAACACATCACAATCCATCAGAAAAAACATAGTCTGCATGTCTAAGTACAGGGATGACCAAAACTTAAAATTTATCCAATATAGCCTATCTCGAATCTAAACATCAAAATACCTATGGTAGCTATTGTAAAATTTTACCTATTAATTAATATAAATGATGATATACCCCAGTGATTCATTAGTGAACCATCAAAACAATAACAGCACTAATGTTACCTAGCACCAGGTATTCTCAAAACAAAGTCCAGAAAGTGTCATTACTTCTAAATTTACTCTTATCTCCATCTAGTACTGATATACTCTGTAAATGCACTGAAAAAAAGGAGAGAGTCTACCAGGTAAGAACACATGACAGCTAAGCTGATGTGAACATTGGATTTTTTAATGTCCAAAAGAATATAAGAATGGGGGAAACTGCAGTGGGTCTATTGGCCCATACATGGCAGTCCCATTTACACCAAGCCCCTATCACTCATATATCCATCCAACCTGTGTTTGAAGCTGCTCTTCATGGGGCATTTCTTCACTTACGAAATGTCTATGACTTAGACCATTAAAAAAAAAATAATAATAAAAAATAAATAAATAAATAAATAAAAAATACAGTCAACCCTCGCTTTACGCGGTCCCACTATACGCGTTTCCACGTTTACGCGGTACCCTGTCGAAACCGGAATGCTCACTTTCCGCGGTGTGTGTGTACCCTTTTACGGCGAGCAGGGTGCGCACAAGGTCGCCCAGTCATCAAAACATTACTGAGTTCTTCACCCGCCACCCACCACAGCTGGCCCAAGTCAGTGATAGTGATAATGATAGTGAGGATATGGACTTATATGGACTTTGAGGGGTTTGACAAAGAGGCCCTGCAAGCCTCTGTGGTGGATAGTGATGCAATTGATACAAGTGATAGAGGCGAGGGCCAATAATCTGCCCTCTGCCTCGGAACCAACCCCCCATCCCCGTGTGCCCAGCCATCTTTCTACTAATGTAAGTGTTAAAAAACCTAATATTATTGATATTTCTCTTAATTATTAATTGTGTGTGCATACCATCATAAAATTAAGAAGTTATTTTTACTACAACGTAGGTATTGTGTCTGAAAAAGTGGAGTTTGGGGGTCGGCCCGGTCTCTATTTCAATTAATCCCATATGTTATGTTGTTCACTTAACACGTTTCTCACTTTACGCGGTGCCGCCGTGGGTTGAATTAACCGCGTAAAGTGAGGGTTCACTGTACCACACACCCTAAAAACTTACCTGAACTTGGCATTTGGGGTCTGAAAAGGCCATCCTTTCTACTACAGTAGAACGTCGATTTAAAGCGATTCAATTTAAGATTATTGATTTAAAGCGACACCCACAATTAAGGATAATGTTTTAATTTAAAGAAAATCTTTCCTATTTTGTGCGAGTCAATCTGGCGCATCCTCTTTTAAATTTCGCGTCTAATGTTTCCCACCAGATGCGTCTCTGGGCATGCTACACGACTGCCCACCACCCTCTCACATCTTCAGTTCTCGCACTGATGCTCAAGTGAACGGGCATATTGTGTGACACCATCTCTTACCACGTGCATCAACCATTGCCACTATTTCCAAGACTTAAAATTCAGATAAGGACAGTTTATGGTTGTCCCTTTTTATTTTGAAAAATTCAGGACAAGGTCTCAAAAAGGACAGACCTGCAACCCTGCGCGGCAGCACCAGCGCGACCACCCTCTCACATCAGCTGATCGCTAGTAAACAGACCATTTTGCATCTCGTAATTTTAGCTGTGTTGATTTATGATTGTTTTAACATATTACTACAAAAAACAATGTTTTGTTTATTCTAGGAGATGGGCTTAGGTGCATCTGGGTAGACTCTCAGTCTTTTTAGAATTTTGTGTTTCTCTCAAGTACCAAACTAAATTATTCCATTGAAACACTTCAATTTAGTGCGAATGCGGTTTAAAGCGACCTCTCTTGGAACGTATCTTGTGTTATATCGACGTTCTACTGTACCTCCGACTGCAGCAATGCGTTAGAAACTAGTGACGTCATTGCAAATGGCAGCCCTGTTTCTAGAGAAATAAAGTTATCTTGACTATTATAACAGGACTTTAAACTTTCATTACAAATTATATATACTATCTCACTCTACGAACGTGACAGTGTATTTCTGGTGTTTACCCAGAACCGTCAACTCATCCATTCCGGCTTTGGGAACGATTTTCCGAAGGGCACATTTTCCGGAAAATTATAAAAATAAATTCCTGGTACCCGGAAAATTCCGGGGATGGGGGAGTTTTTTCTGGTTTTGAAAGATGAAAATCAGGCACATATTCTGGAAATTCCGAGAAAATGTTCCTGTTAACCGAAAAATTCTGGGGATGCGGAAGTGCTCTGTACCAATTGTTCCAGCTAACGGAGATATCATTGTATAAAAAACACAAAAAATACAGTACATATTGTATTATCCTGACCACTGGGATTAATCATACAGCCTTTTTCCTATGAAAAAGCCATAATTTTGTGCAACATATTACTGTACTCTCTTTGTACTGTACTAGACTAAAGGACTAAATTTTTCATCTCTTGTGCAAAATATGTGATGTCTATATGCACTCAATTTGTTCGCTTTCTTGCAAGGATTCTAGCAATGCAAATTATATTCTGCTAAGTTTAGTCTGTGACACTTTATATAAGATAAAATCTTTAAGCCTAAAACTACCTTCAACCTGGCTGGGAGGAGTTGAGATGTTGACAGCTTGGCAGGGGTGAGGTATTGACCAGCCAGCAGGGAGATTACCCAGTGCGTACAGAGGGAGTTAAAGTTTTTCACTTATAAAATGTCGCTGAATTGACTTGGCAGAATATATCTTACATTGTTGGGATTCTTATAAGACCATGATTAATTTGAAAATAAACAGGTTTGCCCTTAAGACAATTATTTCTTTTACGTTGTTCACAATAGGTATTTTAGATGGTGTGTGCATGTAAACTAGCAAAACAAAAATTGGAGAAGTTATGTACAGGGGGCCCCCCCCCAAATTCGCGTGGGTTAAATTCTTAAAATGGCCGTGAATCACCAAACCCGCGAATAACATTTGCTGACCGGGGGGAGAAGAAACATTTTTACTTGTGTACAAAGAAATGTATATTCCCTTTATGTGTTTGCCCTTAGGACAATTATTTTGTTTACCTGTATTGTATATATATATATACAGTATGTCTAATCACATACAAACAAATAATACGTAATGGAAAAATACTCACAAATAATCAGAAAAAAATTATTAAAAATGTGAGTCAACCCTCAAGTCCGTGCTTTATTTTTTATAGCACGGACCTAAGGGTAGACTGTCAAATTTTTAATAAATTTGTTTCGGATTGTATATATGTATTGTATTGTATATATGTGCGTGTGTGTAGACGCGCACACACACAAAACACATACAAATAAATAATAATGGGAAAATCCTCTCACAAATAATCAGAAACAAGTTTATTAAAAATGTGACTCTACCCTCAAGTCAGTGCTTTAATAAATAAAGAATGGACTTGAGGGTTGACTCACATTTTTAATAATTTTTTTCTGATTATTTGTGAAGTATTTTTCCATTAGTATTTATCTGTATGTGTCTACACACACACATATTTACAATACAGGTAAAGGAAATTACTGTCTCTAGAACGAATGGTTCCCTGTCCCACCTGCGAAAATGCCGGCAACTTTAGAACTACCCACAAACATTCTTGGGTACATCCAGTGTCTTCCGTGAGTAATAAAGGACCGTGAAATAAAAATCCACGAATTTGCCCCCCACCCCCTGTACAGTATAACTACCCAAAAATATGAGTTGAAAAACTTATACCGGTACTTAAATGTACTACAGTACACTAAAGCAATAAAATTTTCATCTTTTGTGCAAATTATGTGATACAAGTCCACCACAGATTTTCCGGGACCCTTGGTTCCAAAGCCTTGCCAGATTATCCATTTTGCCAGACCAACCGAGGTCAGGGAATAATAATTCAATAATACACCTCTGACCTACTAATTATACACCTCCTGTGTGTCTAATGCACCAAGGACTGCTAGAAACTTAAATTAAACAAATATCAAATGTAAATTAAATGTGAAAAAACAT